TATAAAATTATCTTATTAAAATTTATGTAAAAATTAAATTAAAACAATTAAATTTGATAAAAAAATAAAAAATACATTAAACATATTCTAAAGCTATGCTCAACACAAATTAAAAAAATTTATAAATAAATTTGCGTAGAGCAGCGATCAGCATGATCAAATTAATTCTGCCGGCCAGTTCCTTTGTTTCCCTTTATTTATTTATTTATTTATTTACTTTTCATTGGTTTAGCAAGTACATATATGCTTTTCCACGGAAAAGATCATTAATTTCTTCAATGTCATCAGATAACAAATTCCATTGATTGTTTGGGAATAATTAATGTAAATCTGTATTCTTTGGAATAGAGTATGGATTTCACCACAACGATGCAAATCATGCAATACCTGGAGAAGGGTGCAAGCATAGATCGTAAGTTGTACACCTTGTACCATAACCAATACTACGAAATCATCCAAAAAAGAGAAAAGAAAAGAAGTGAAGAGAGAAAACAGAAGAAAAAGATAGCTAGGCAGTGAGATGGAAGTAAATACTTACAGAGTTAGCAACTAAGCATGTGTTGTTGATTGCTTCCTCGATCTGGCTCTGATATATTCTCTAAATACGCAGATGTAGATCTCCTTTTGAATGATTTTATATGTGATGAACAAAAGGAAAACGAAAATTAACTAAGGCACAGTAAAAGGGGAAACAATAATGTCGTTGACGTGAAGTCAACCCTCCAATTTTGTGAGTTTATGATGATAAGTGCAATGTCTCGAATTAATCTTGTAAGTTTAAGGGTACAAATTAAGGATATAATTAATATTTTTTTATATTAATTAATATAAAAATAACAAAATTTATTATTAATTTTATCATTAATATTATATGTATTGTTTTAATTAAATAATTAATTAAATAAATATCTAATTATATTTTTTTAATAATAATTAATATTTAAAAAGTATTTTTAACTTATATAAAATACAGCTTAAAAAAACCAATTTTGAAATAGAAATGTAATTTAAGTAGTATATAGGTTTATTAGAAAATAAAATTTTTAGACAATTAAAGAATAAGGTTAGTGTTTATCTGTTATTTTTTAAAAATTAAAAAAAAATTATTTTAAAATTATAGTATTGTTTTAATAAAACATTTTAAGAAAAAAATAAAAAAATAGTTTAATATATATT